AGGTTTTCCAGGTAAACTGGAATTGTTTGACCCACAGAAAGCTCATGATCTACACTTAAGTAGATACACAGTTGGACACATTCACTGTCAGCGTTATATAATGTGGGAGGAGAACTGACCAATGGAATCAGTGTTGTGTCATGAAAATATGACCTCAAGTGAAATACTTTGGCATTTATGAAATCACCATCAATTTACCAAACTAACAATAACTAGCTTCTAGATCAAAAACAGGCCTTACATAGCCTCAACCTCTAATTACACACAAAACTTGTTCTGGACTCTTTATGCTTTTGATAGTCCATTTTGGCACACAGCAGCGTTTGGAACACGAGGCACCTTCACAAAATATCAATGGAGAGCAATTCCTTATTCTCCTCTTTGGTGTGGGTAGGTCTTACTCTCTCATTTCATACACAGAGTCATCAGTACCAAATTCACACACATTGTGGTCACCAGGAGCATCACATACCACACCATTATCTTTTATTATCCTAATACATCATGGTGTATTGTAAGTCATGTTTTCTTTAAAAATACAAAATAAAAGAAAACTACATTCTTTAACATGCCAACATCGTTCATGCACTGTCTGTCACAGCTGACGTGTTCTGCTTCTACTAAATGAGTTTTGCAAACTTGGTATTCTTTACCATGAAACGGTTGTGTTTCAAAGTGTGCCAAGGTAGAAATGATACTGTAAAGAACTGCATATTGAAAATAAGACCCAGATTGACACAATCAAAAAGACAACGATTAAATCAATGTCCTTTTTGGTCTCTTTGGTCATTGCATGTCAGTGTACTGCCTAGAAGGAGAAATATACTGTATGTCAGCAGCCAGTAACTAAACAAGATCTAATCAGCTAAAAGCATGGCCTCACTGTCATGTTGTGTGTCTGTTCAACACCTCTTTGAATCTCTTCTTTTTCATCTCAACCACTCTCTCAATTTCTCAATTAAAGCTACAAAGAATGAAGATACTTTCCTGATTAAAAGGATGCTCCTGCATCAAAGTGTGCTGCAGAGGTGTACATTGCATTTACAAGTCAGGCAGTAAAAACAGAGATGTAAAGAGCAACAACACCTTCCAGTTAAACTGTGGTTCCCTGATAGCAAATAGAGGGCTCAAATACGTCTGAAGCAATTCTTTTTCTTTTTCACTTCAGTTATTTTTTTTTTACATTAGCTTGAGTAAAGTCTCCTTTTTTAATTTTCAAAATGTAAGACTTTAAATCTCAAAACCCAACAATGTTTATTTGCTATTTCTTTAATCAATGCTTTTTTTTGGTCCTCGTTTTTTGCTTTCGTTACCCTTTGTGCAAACTGAGACAAGGTAAAAGTTCAGAGGGAATAAAAGCTTTCCTTGTGAGCCAAATTTAAAAATTCAAAAGTTCAATGTTTTGCCCTGTGGAGTTAGAGAAGGTCTTTTCAGGGATCAAGTCTTTGATAAACCACTTCAAGTGTTTAATTAGCTGAACATGACTGTGCGTATTAAAAAGCTCAATGATTAATATGCAGATAGAGATCAAAAGGTCAGTTTAGTCAGGTATCTAGGAGGCTTTGAGAAGTATTTGCTGCTAATGAGTCTGCCTAAGACCATTACCTCTCTGTCCTTTTCTCTCTTCACTTCCTTTATTTCTTTCTCTTTTTTTAACTCGGGCTCTGACCTTTGTTCAAAGTTGTGCTGACAGCAGGATAGCATGCACAGCCAGAGACAAAGAGAAAAACACAAGGAATGAATGAATGAGTGTGTGAGCGGAGAACCTGGATCAGAATGTGTTATAGTGCAATATAACTTAAAAATCACATTTCTTTAGAGTGAACTCACTTGGTTCTCTTTATCAACACACAGCTCAGAATAAACAACCAAAATACAAGAATGCAGAACAAGTTTCCACTGTGTGTTTATAACTGGAATATTTTGCAGTTCTACATTTCATTTAGCAGATGCTTTTGTCCAAAGCTAAGTTCAACTGAACGTATACAAGCAAGGATCTAGAGAGGATGAAACAATGCAAAGTGCAAACAAACAGCTTTAAGTCTGATGGGACTCAGCTGCTGACAGGGTCCATAATGCCTCCTGTTTTGCTGTAGTTTACTGTAGGGAAATGTATGTCAGCACTATTAAACAGCGTCATATGCAATAAAAACCACAGCTAACAAACGTTACAGCAGCAGTGACCCTACAGCTCTGCACAAACTCATGCAGATTTATACACAACGCTCAACAGGCGTCACCATCTTAGTTTAGGGCTTCAACCAGTCATAAAAATGAGTAACAAAGGAAATCCATTCTACATTTATTTTCTCTGCCGTTAATGAAGGATAGAAAAGTAAATAGATTGGATTATCTTCGGTGTATGCTAAGATTAGAGCTGTAAATGAAACAAACAGGAAGCGTCTCTTTCTTATCGTCATGACAAATTGATCATTGGGCAATAATTAAGTTAATTCTGAGAGAGAGACAAATATCTCATCATTAGTGTTTCTACGACATCCATGTCACCACAGTTATCTTTCTATTGTTTTTTGATATGTCACTGTTAATGTTGTCAGCTGAGTCACCTTATCAGAGCACAGTCAAATGTCTCAAGCTATGCAAATAAAACGTTACAAAAGTACTGTTGAACAGGTTGCTTCAAAGAAATGATTGATCAAATCGAAAGCATGAACATGCTTTTGAAGAGTGCATGCAAAGCGTATCCAAAAATCAAGATAAGCTGAGAAACCTTTAGCCTGTTGTAGAGAAAAGCAGCAAGGGACTGAATTTCCAAATCAACCATCCACACTTCTGAAGCTCTAGAGGGTTTGTACTTGTGATACACTGATAGGGCAATGGTCATCTTTGTGACATACAAAGCTCCTTCCAAAAAATCTGACATAGCATCTAAAAAGAAGAAACTAAGGCAGTGTCACATTTCAGGATGGTGTCAGCTGCTACCAGACGCAGAATAATTGAGGGAGCTGTGTTGTGAATTGCACTCTAGAGTAACATCTAATAAAGCAGTTGCTCAGAGGGTCACTCATGACTCCCTCAAGTAAACGCTGTGGAAGGGTAAACACTTGAAATGTAAGAAATGTCAAGGGAATATTTTCACATTTTAACAGTAATGTTGTGAAGTGGTTGAGAGGCACGTTCCTTATATTACTGCGCCGCAAAAAGAAAAAAAAGAAAACCTGATTGCTCTAGTTTACAAGTTACGTCACAGTGTTTTGTAGGCAGCTGTTTTCAGAGGCAGAGCAATCTGGTGTATTTGATTCAATCATGGGAATTTGTCCAGTCGGCCAACTTATTTTCAAAATACTAATTGATTTAGCAGAAAAAAGTCTCTCTGTCCCAACACCACTGGTAATGCTGTTTACTAGAAAGTGACACGTGTCAGCTAAAAGACCCCGTCTCCTCTTTTGCAAGTGTTTATGTTAAACCAGCTCACAGCAGAGTGTAAACACACTGTGCCAGGATGTTCTAACTAATATTCACTACAGTGCGACCTCTGAACACACTCACTAAAAAGCTTAATTTGACTTTTCTTTATCCCATTTAGCATCCGTGCAACGGATGAGGACTGCCAGCCCAGACAACCATACTTTATATCACCTTTGGGTTAAAATGTATTTTCTTTTAAGCAGGACTCAGAGAACAGAACAGACACAGTACAGACACTGCACAGACCTCACACTGAAGAAAGCATCTGTCACATCGGCATGTAAAGTTTACATGATGGGTGACCCTGGCATGTGTGTGTGTGTGTGTGTGTGTGTGTGTGTGTGTGCGCGTGCACTCATGAGCCCCTCACTGGTATGTTATTGTCAGACCATACTGACACAGCGGACTTTAATCCTCTCGCCTAAACTAACAACACCATGAATGGTACGTCTGGTATTTTTCAAACGGCTGGCAGACACACAAAGAAATTTGCTTAATTGAACAAGAACAAATGTAACACTAAAGTATGAACAAATAGTATTAAAGAAAAAAAAGATAGCATTATGAAGGTAAAAAAATATACTAGAGATACATTAACGTGATTACATTTTTGTATGGAAATATAATAAAGCTATACAACGTAGTTATGGAAGAAAGCATTCTTGTTTCATACTAAAGAGGTATTATTATGCCAGATTCAGTTTAGAATATAATATAATCCTAAAAAAAGATCAGAAATTAAGATAAATTAAAAGCAAAAGGATGGCCAAACTGTCAGGATCAGGTTTAACATCAGGCAGTAAAGAGTCTCAAAACATGACTCCAACATATCCTCGTCTGGTTGTGTGTTTAAAGTCATATGCAGCTGGGGTTTTTTTTAACCCTGATATCTGCTGTCATCTCCTGGTGCAGATGCAGACTGCAGAAGGTGTTTGTTTTCACCTAGGCAGGCAGGAGGGAACTGAGGTCTCTTTAGGTGTAAGTATGTCAGTATTTTCCATATTTACAGTCTATGGTATTTTCACATGATTGACAGTCCTGAATTCTTTTTTATTATTTTATTTTATCCTTTAAAATGTTCACATTAGATCTAAACTGCAACAGAAGTTTACTTCTGACCTGATAAAAATGCGCAAATTACCTTGAAAAGTTATCTCATTATGTTGTGAATTCATCTGGTCTGACTTCAGTGATTCCTTTATTGGCCAGTGGGTGGCAGCAAAGCTCTATCTTTCAGAAGTACTGAGCCTTTGTTGCCACGTCCGTTTATTATAAGCGCCTTTGTTCAGTGGGTTGCTTGTTATTCGGGCAATTGCACTTAACGTTTTGCCTGAATTTGAACCCAATTAAAGCCTTAATTAAAAATGAGGAAGTTGTGTTCATTGTCAGCTGATGTAGCCTAATACAGTAGTCCAAATTGACCAGTTTCTTGTCAGCCTACTTTAAAAACATTTACATTTTCTATTTCATTTTCTATTAATAAATTCATTTGAATTACGGAGGAGGGTAGCATTACATCTTGTAGCGTACAGCCTGCTGGATTTCCATTAGAAGAAGAAGAAGCTAACCGGTCCAGTCTACTGTAAGCCAGTCAGGAAAGGACTCCAAAGCTCCCCAATCAACCGCGGAAATGTTCAAAACAGAGAAACTAAGAGCTTTGATTAATGACCGACTGACGGCGGCTGCTGAGGAGATTTTCAGTTTGTTTGAGGAAACTCTGAAGGACTACGAGGAGACAGTTTTACATTCAAAGCAGGAGGAAGAACAAGAAGGAAGACTGGTTGAGTGGCAAGGTAACTTCACTCAGGTTATGAACATATAGCACAGGACTCAAACTGTGGACTCATGTATTCAGTGTTTTATCTTTGTAAGTACTCTGGAGCTTTCAGTCTCCCTGACAGCTTCCTAAATAAACAGGAGACACACAGTGTGTCCATTTTGCATCCCTTAAGGGAGGGGGATGCAAAATGGCTGTCACTCACAATCACAAGTGGCATAAACGTTTTTATGTCTTCACAAGTTGCCGAATAAACGAATTAATGAGAAATATGGCCGCAGGGTTTGTATCTCATTCTCAAAAGCATCACCTTCATCCTTTCTCTTCCACCTCTGTTCACCTCCTGAGAGGTCAGAGGAGATGAAGGATGAGTGGAGAGAAAGAAGATGGGACATTAAGGCTGTTTGATTTGCTGTTTGTTGTCATTAGGAGATATTTATAAGTAGCCTATGATCTCCTTATAAAAAATAAGTGTTTGTGGATGCACAGCATACATTGTTATTAGTATAAAATATCTCCCTTTCTTTATCTAACACTTATTGATGTGTGGTGGCTAAAGAAGGTCTAATTAACATTGATAAGATGGTTATACACATATATGTACAAATAATCATTTCCACAAAGTCAAATTAAACAGGCTCATTGTGAATCTAATATGCTGAAGCTACAGTTCAGAAACATACAGCGACAGATGTTTTTCTGATCATTTGACCTCCATCACACTGGTGTGCAGTTTGGTTTGATACCTCTCTATGTGCCTCTATGCTGGTTTATTGCGTGTCATTATGATGGGATATAAAACAAAGCCTCCTTTTCTTTTCTCATGTGTGCTTCTGTCAGGACCCCTCCAGCTGTGTGTCCAGGAGGATGATGCTCCCTTTGAGCAGGATCACTGTGGGAGGACTGATCTGTGTGAGAAAGACCAGGAGCCGCTGCAGATTAAAGAAGAAAGAGAGGAGGAACTGTGGGCTGCTCAGAAAAGTGAAAACCAGGAGACTGACACCAAAGACTCTTTGTTCAATATCATTGATGTGCAAAGAAGTGGTGAAGATGGAAACCCGATCATAAATCAAGACTTTCAAAATAAAGGAGAGTCTTTGCCTGGCGACTCATGTGAACAGTTCAAATCTGATCCTAATGTTTTTGTTTCTCAGCCAACCAGTGACTGCCAGACGAGTGGATTCAGTGATGATGAATGGAGAGAGTGTGGAGAATTTAACTCTCGGGGTAAAAGTAAGAAATTACAGCAGACTGGTGAAGCATCGGACAGGCCGTACACCTGCAGCGTTTGCGAAAAGACTTTCAAGATTAAATCTATCCTGACTCGCCATATGAAGACGCACTCAGGAGAGAAACCGCACAGCTGCAGCGTTTGTGGCAAAAGCTTCATCCAGCGCTCGTACCTGCAGACCCACTTGAACTCTCACTCCGGACAAAAGCCGTACACGTGCCGCTTCTGTGGCAGAGGGTTCACACAAGCCGGGAACATGAAGGCCCACATCCGCATCCACACGGGAGAGAAACCCCACAGCTGCTCCGACTGTGGCAAAAGCTTCAGAGAGAAGGCAGATCTGATTAAGCACAGAGTAATTCACAGCGGTGAGAAACCCTACATCTGCACCGTGTGTCATATGAAATTCAGAGTTCAGTCTAATCTGACACGCCACATGATGACTCATTCAGGGGAGAGGTCTTTTGGTTGCACCACGTGTGGAAAAAGTTTCTTCCGACGCTCCCATTTAATCATTCATATGAAGACTCACACAAGAGAAAATGTTTAGACTTTAGATATGACTCAGTTTGGTATTAAATCACTTACAAAGCAGAGGGGAATGGTTTTGATCTATAAAGTCTATTTCCCCCTTTTGATTGGATTGACATCATGTACAAATCATTTTTTTGACAAGTTGTTAATATATATTTTTGTAATGTACAATGCACACAGAAAGGTGTTAAACTGTTTCCTCTTCTAAGGGACCAACATTTAGTATAGCGTTCAGTAAGGAGAGATTTTTCTAGTGAAATAAAGAAACGGTCATTTTGACCGCCGTCGAACATTATCAGTAGGTCATTGATGTCTTTACATTTATTCACAGATGATTCTTTTTCTCATTTTAACCAAATCCCTTTCAAAAAGTGAAAAGTGTTTGTTGCTAAATCCTCTTGCCAGCCCGCTCAGAGTCTCATAGCTCTGAGCAGCTTCATTCTTCTTATCGATGTAAATCTTTTAGATATGTTTTACTTTTTTTAAAACGCTCTGTTATATCATGAACCAGCTGAGGGACTTTCTTCAAAAAAAATGATCTGGAGGTCTCATTTTTTGCATTTAAACAACACAGGGCCTGAAAGAGAGGTGTGCTGCCTCCAACCTAAAAGTTGTGATGTATAAAACAAAGCTCAAAGAAGGATGTGTGCACTTGTAAGCCAACTCTGAGCCAGGTGGAGACAGATCAGTGGCTGTCTTACACTCTGTCTATGAGCAAAGTCTGAAAATAAAGCCAGTGACGACTTTTGCACAATCTTTGCATATCCAAATAATCGGTCCAAATGATAGTGCAGGCTAAGTTCCCCATAACACAATGACATGTATACAATGTTTGTGTTATTCTAGTTACTCATTTACTTATTACAATTTATTTTGACTTAATTTATTGAATTGAGCAGTGCACATATATCAACTTATCAACAAAACACATCGATGCAAATATGCCGCATTAAGCACAATAGCTAAAACATCAAACTTCTGAATTCAGTCTTTTCTGGTGAATTCATTATTTTCACGGGGGGAGGGGGGGACACTTTGCTTTTCTTTGTTTTAACCATACATTGTTTCATAGTGCTTTGCTTTACCTTGAATATTTAGGAGTGTCACAGAATACTGTGCTAAATGTTGTAGGCCTACTAAATTCAGCCTTTTAAGTAGGCTAACTGTTTCCTGATGTGTGTAGTAATAGTCTATGACTTGTTAATGGTTGATGAGATCTTTGCGGAGGTGAAATGATTACTGTTAGACTGTACTATGCAGCAGCTAGCAACCACCATGTAGGTGAGTTTACCGACACTTCATTCCAGGTTCATCCGGCTGAGATGATGGAAGCAATACTTGGGCTTCAGTGGGTGGAAGAAGTGACACCAGACAGTGATGTGACTCTGCAGCAGCTCTATAGTTCACTATGACATTAACTAGAGGGAACTAGGGAGATCAGGAAAGATAGAATAGCTTACTTAGTAAGAACTGACTAATATAGAATACAGTCTATAGCCTATATGCATATTTTTGTAGGCCTACATGCTTATAGAACAGGAATACATGTGCTATTTATTTAATTACATTTTTATTTCACCCATTATAATTATTTTATTATAATTATTATTGTTCTTGTTAGTGTATTTTAATCTTATAAAACTGGATCCCGTTACTGTTCTCCGCCAAAATAATATAATTAGAAGAAGGCGGACGTGAATTGACGTCACTTCCGTTGCGCGAAACTAAAACTTTGGCGCCGCAGACTTGAAATCATCTTGATAACACTGGAGGAATAAGCAGAAAGCCCGTAGAAAAAAAATGAATCAAACATTGAATTAGGTCCGTAGTGTCGGCAGGGAGGTAACATTAGCTATCGCTGTTACGGAAGTTAATAATACTGATCGTGAAGATGAACTCTTTTCGGATATCTGTGATGTTAGCTGTCAGGTAGCTACAATATCGGGTTGTCAGCTGAAACGTTATCGCTAATGATCCTCTTAGAGACGAGCTTGCCGTCGGGTAGTAATTGCTTATAAATACACACACCTGCAACCAGACTCACCATGAACAAGACCAAGATAAAGAAATCAAAGGTGAGCTCAGCAGGTTTCCCTTTACATTTGTTTTTGTTTGAGAGTGACACAGGTTGTACCAGAGTGCAGATGTATCCTCCTTTAGTGTGTTACTGCCTCTTGGTGACTAAGCAGTGTGTTTGTCCTTCAGCTTTAATTGATTCAGCCAATGCAGCCATCTGTTCTTTATCTAGTCAAAGAAGTGAAAAACTATCTTTCCTAACACTAATGTATTTATACTTACTGACTTCACGTTTCACTTCAAGCTGTTTCAGATATTGATAAATATGAATGTTGTTATTTTGAATCAGAATGAAAAATGAAGTAAAAAAAAAGCATCTGGGACATATGTTGAAATGTTTGTCAGGTACCTGGAGGACAGAAGAACATCTCATCCTTCTTCTCCTCTCAAAACCACCACATGGTACATTTTATTACTTATTTAAATATCTCTGTTTCTTTTCCTTTCATTACTGTCTAATACCTACTTGCTCTGCATAGGCTGGTCAAAAAAGTAAAATGATAATGTTAAACTACATTATTTGTAATTGAGAGGAATGAGTCATTTGATTTGACAGATAATTACTGTACTGCTATTTTTGTTACTAATAATGTTACATCCTATTATTTTTAGTGAACACATTTGTGTTTGCTTTTCATCTTATGCATGCTATCTCTTCTATATCATTTCTTGGCTCTTTCCACCTCTTCTGTTTTAATTTACTTTCCAGTGTGTTTTTTTTCTTGTTTTCTGCATTTCTTCTGGTATTTATTGAAACAACTCTTCACTAATGACTTTAATGTTATGCTCTAAAAGTGTTATATCTCTGTGGTTCTTCTTTATGGACTCGCTATCTGGCACTGGCATTGCTTTCTACAAGACTGAACCTCAGATCAAACGGGGCCAAACCTCAACAATCGGACCCCAATCCCCCGTAAAGAGGAGTATCCTTGGGGACCTTGAAAATCTCCTGCCCTCCTCACCAGATCTTCTCCTCTCTGTGCCTGAGACCCCCAACAGTCAGATCAGACCTGCTTCTTCTTCATCCATTGTTCCCTGTCGCCTGAGTCCTGTGCCCCGCAGAGAGGGGATATGCTTGGAGAAGCTTGGCCAGCTGTCCCCTATCTGTCGTAGTCCTCGCTCCAAAGGGCAGGTTGTTCGGAGAGTAAAGACTGAGGAGGAAACAAAAATGAAGAGACAAGAGGGATGTTCTAGCTCCTCAAAAAGGCTCTTCAGCCCTTCACATGAGTCCCGCGATGCAAAAAGACCAAGAACCTCCAATTCACCCGCACAAATAACTCCACTCACCCCCATCGGCAGCAACTTGAAGGTGACGAGGCCTGTGATTGGTCCTCTAAAGACACCTGTTTTCTCCTGTAACCAGTCAGAGGGTCGACAGAAAAATCAACAAGAAGAGGAAGGAAAGAAGGAAAACAACTCTGGTTTCACTGTGATATCAGAGCAGAAGATATCTGAACTGAAAGCCAATGAAAATCCACAAACTGGTCTGGTTAAGTATACTCGCAGTCTGACTGCCCAACCAGGGACACAAACAGCTGCAGCGAAGAGAAATTCAATCAGCGCAAAGACCGACCTCAACAAAAAGGAAGAGGAGACCGAGGCTGTTAGAACAGCAGTGACATCATCAAAAGGAGACAGGGACAAAGTGGCATCATCAGTTCAGGAACGAGGGGAAGGTACATTGATATATTTTGATGCCTTTTAATCAAATATTACACAACTTTGACTAAAAATAAAACATTGGCGGGTCTTTTTTTTTTTCTTTTTACACCCTGCTTTGATGAATCTTTAATCCAAAACCACTGATTTCACGAGCATTAGCATCCATGCACCACAAAGTGTTTGTGTTATGCACTCACACATACACACACGCTTTCATCTTGCTTGTAATGCAGCCTTATAAGAAAAAGTAAATGTTGCATCATGATGTCAATAATACAGATACACAAAGTCATATTTTTTTTTTTAATGCATCACTTTCTGTACCTGTTGCTTTTGATCTCCTCTTTAATTATTATTTTGTTACTCCTCCCACACAAAAACAAACAGTAATGGTGTCAGCGTGTCCTGATGAAGAGGAGCTGGACGAGAGCTGGTTTGCAGACCAGATGGATCATAATGAAGGACCTGTCAGAAGGATGGAGGATAAACCTAAAAAACACCAGTAAGAAGCACATGAACTAACTAACTTAGAGAACAGTTTGTTCAGGTTGGCCGCTAACAAATGAGCTTTAATGAAAGGAGGTGTGTTCAAATCCTCTTTGTCCCCACAGTAAGGTGCCTGATCATGTCATCCTCTCTGGAGGCCTCAACAACCGCTACTGGGTTTTAGACATTGAGGAGAGGCCTGGCTGTAAAACGCTGACCATCTCATGCTCCAAATCTCTACATCCCACTGAGACGTGTGTGCTGAAGGATGGATGGTAATGCTGCATTTTGGGATCCGCTGTATTTTACATAATGCTACATATTTTCTCATTTTTATCCTCATGTGTACCACATTCTCCCCTTCAGGGGCCGTAAGCAGCCCATATTTCATTCCCACACTGTGCAATTGTCATTTCAAAATATATCTGTATTTGCATCAGCAATCAGCCAAATGAGCTTCAAAATATCAGAGGGTAAAAATAAAAATAAACTAACATCCCCCAAAGCTAGTTCGCTGCTTGAGAAGGTAAAGGATGTAAACAGTTATTTACGGAGTGCCTTGTTTCCGTACCCCTTTACGTTGTCATATGTTGCTCCTGTATATGTGTAGATTTCTATGATTAATGCGAGTGTCTGATGAAATAAGCATCTGTAGTTTTGTGTGTTTAAGAATAGGTCTTCAATCCACATTTATGTACGTCTCAGCCCTTTGCATGCCTATTCATTGATTCTGTGAGTGTTTCCAGGGAGATGACGCCCGTCTGTCGTGGTGATGTGGTGCATCTGGAGGGCCGCCGTGATGGTGGGTCCTGGTCAGTAGACAGGGAGCAGGGCTTCCTGATTTTACTACCCGACAGTCTCATCTCAGGAACCAGCATCTCCAGCTCCATCCGCTGCATGAGGCGAGCAGTGCTGGGAGATATGTTCAAGGTGAAGGCTGTACACAAAATGAATTTAACGCCCTGATTGTTTATGTTGGTTGTTGTGTGTTTTTGTCCGACATCTGAAGGGGACTGAAAACTCTGCACTTTGTGAACGCTGACTTTAACTTTCAGATTAATGGCA